CTTTGAACTAATGTAGTCGCCTGAGTGAGCTCGCCGCTGCTGACAATGCGTATACGTGACATGTAAGCCTCTTAGAATTTTGCTTGCACAATCATATGTCTGATACATGCTTGTGTATGTGTAGGTATGCAAGTAAGACAAACTTCTAAAGGACTTTTTTCATTCAAAGTAAGTTGTCTTAATATTTTCAGTGGCGGGAGAGGACAACTCTGTCAGTTAAAAGAGAAAAAACCACAATAGATAATAGATAATCAATAAAATAAAATTAATAATAGAAAGATTATTGATTATAGATAAGAGATAATAGATTATAGATTGTATATTATAGATTATAGATTATAGATTATAGATTATAGATAATAGATTATAGATCATAGATTATAGATTATAGATTATAGATTATAGATTATAGATTATAGATTATAGATTATAGATTATAGATTATAGATTATAGATTATAGATTATAGATTATAGATTATAGATTAAAGATTACAGATTACAGATTACAGATTATAGATTATTTTGATCGATATTGGTAAAATACTTATATAGATAATGCATTCGCACCATAATCTATGATTTTTGTTTTCCAGAAGTAAACTAAGCGACATTGTGAGATTGTTCGCCGTGTACGTAGAGTTAACCATACATATCAAATAAAGAAACGACTTCCTAATAAGAGATATAAAAATATATATTTTTGGTTTTAATTACAAATAATATTAACTCGCGCATTTTAAATGGGCAAATTCTGCTAAAATTTCAAAAATGTATAAATACCAGTATCTTATTAGATTTTAATTACTTTCGAAATAACTGCATACAGCCCTCGTCTGCTGTTGATTATGTACCAGTCAACCAGCCAACCCAAGCAATGACAATAAATATTTTCTAAACCCCTATCGTAAGTATTCCAAAAGCCTCAACGCTCAATATCGCCACAATAAAAGTAGAAAACAACTGAAATACATCCCATTAAAGTGCTCACTTGACCTTCAGAGTGTGCCAGCTGAAGAATTGCGATAATATCACGTCCTCGGCTTGTATGTCAACACAATAACACGTAGAACGAATTTATTTATTATTGATAAACGAGTGGAATTCGACAATATGACAACAGTACAATATCGCAAAATAGCGAGTCAAAATTTATTGTGCACAAAGCAGTTGGCAAAAGAGCACACACAACCACTTACCACGTCAGACTACATTTTCAAAGTGTTATTTACATACAAACATATGTTTATGGACATTATCCATATATATTAATGCCGTTGTAAGTAAACTGTCAGCCAGCAACAACTATCAGCATCCCATAATCGATAAGGGTATTATAAATATCAAATGAAATAATCATGGTCTACATTTATGCGAAAGCATCAAAAAGCTGTAGTAATGCTCGCTTTCGGAGCTTATAAAAGAATTGGAATGGCACATGAACCGATATTAAAGTACTGCCTCAAAGAAAAACAACAAAATATACGCAAGGCAGGATAATAAACTGCAACGAGCGCTTAGTATTAAATTCAAATAAGTCCGTTATTGTGTTGAATATGGCTGCCGGGCATTTGAGCAGACAACAACCAGCTTAGTCTCAGTCACAATACAATATATGCTTGCTTATGTACATATATTATATAATAGTCCCGCACGGAGCTTAGTCCATATCCTATTTTCAAATAACCGCATATGTTATATTCAAAGCCAAAATAAATATGGCTAAAGGCGAGTACGAATTGCGAGGTTTGGTTACTGCGTGCTTGTGGATCAGAACTATCATTATTTGCTGCTGCTGAGTACCACTGTAGTGTGTGCATATTTGTGGGATTTTGTTTTATTTATATAAGTTTAAGTTGGCCACGACTAAAATATAAGTTGTCTAAGCAAATTTTTCAAAATTGAGCACAAAATAGTTAGGACATAAAAAATACTGTAAAAAGATAAGATACAGAGGGTGGAAAAGAAATCGTTTCATAAGACCACTCTAAATAAAAATATACATTTTTGCTCTAAATAGCCTAATAATCTAATATTATAAATAGGAAAGATTTGATTCCTTGTTTGTTTGAATTGAATAGGCTCCGAAACTACTTGACGGATTTGAAAAAAAACTTACACCGTTGGGAAGCTCGAAAGATATCACGAATTTAAAATGTAAGTTTTAAAAAAAAAGTCGCATGGTGAGCGGCGACCACTCGGCTAGGCTGCAACATAGTATGCGATGTAGGCGTCATTGGGCCACGGAAGGGGAATCTATGTCATGAAATAAAGTGCAGTGCGGCTCACTTACACAATTGGCTCTCTACAAAGCGGTCGTTGGTGGAATTGAATATAAATAATATTAAAAGTTCGATGTTCACATCTTATCGTCTATATGAGTCCCTCTTCCCCCAAATGGGTTAGCAAATGGAGTGGTCTGCTAGTTTAAGTATATTCTGTAGTCTGGATTGCTAGTTTATTGTTATAATTTAAATTATTTTTATTGGTCGAGTTATACCGAATAAAACTATTAAAATATTATTTACATGCGAGGGTTGAGCCGGGATACAGACCTCCCCAACCTTGGCTACAGCGGCCTTATAGAGTTGGACTGGTCACTCGTCGTCGCACACAATCATTTTAATCTGGCCCTAATATCAGCCGCCGACAAACAATTTAGCGGATGTCACACCCTTTGCCTTCAATCTTTTGGCTGACGACTTAGCCTCTTCAGCTGACCTCTGTCTTTTGGCTGCTAGGTAATCAATGAACTCCTGGAGCAGACGCAACACTAGCAGCAATATTTTTGATTACAGCGATTGGTTCTAACTGCCATTGGTAGTGCTGCCTTCCGAGGGCTAGGCTTGCCACCAACTACTAAGTTAGTGTCAGCCCCTACTCCTAGACTTAGCTTAGCGCCTGCTTTTGCGCAGGCTGTTTCCGAGCTCATTACAAACGCTGCCCTCTTCGCGGAACAACTACAGTCGTACTCCTTTAATCCTTTATTATTGATGTTATAATGGTCATAATCTGAACCATATCTGAGTATAGACGAAAGTAGACCCTCTTATTACGGAGGGCTTCCAGCCCGACTAATCCTCGGGACAAGTCACAGGACACCTTGATCCAACCCTTTTTGTACTCCCAACTATAGTAAGACTTCCTTTTTTGAATGCTGTGCTATTGAGGAGTAACGAACATCCAACTAAATGTCAGACCTTAGCAAAATAACTGTCAACAGCAGCAGAGGCGAACTGCTGCCAGCCCGTCCCTGCTACCGTCGTGATACTGTGGCAGCTATATCCGATTATGTTTCGATTTAAACAAATTGTTCGGAGATTATAGCGCTGTCTTGGACACCAAAATTGCCAAATTTCGTGAAGATATCTCAGCAAGTAAAAAAGTTTTCTATACAAAGACTGGCAAACTTAATATACCCTGTTTAGAGTATAATTATTAATTTTAGTTACTTTTTATAATTTTGAAGAGCTTTGATTCAATCAAGAAGGGTAGTCTGCCTCGTTTTCACCCTATATACTTGTAGTATGTCTTTCAAGCAGATATTTATTCCTACATACATAATAAATATACATATTTTACCACCTAATACGAGGATTGCATTTTATATTTCGGGATTAGAGAACTAAAGCAAATATTATTTATCTACAATCGCTTTATTATTTCTCAAAATATTCTCTGTTAAGATGAATGATTGAACCAAATGTCGAAGCACTTTTGCCACTCTGATTGAGGCATCTCTAAAACATGCGTTCTCAACGTATGTATCAACCGTCTCTGCAATCCCACGATCTTGCAATTTCAGTTTATGCACAGCATCAATAGTTTACGGAACAAAAACTGATGTTAGATGACCAAAACGAAATTCGTCTTAGAGTGATCTACGTCCTACGATTGAGGTCACCTTACGATTAATTAACACTGATCTTTGATGGAGCTTCATGTTCAAAAATTTAATTAAGTTCTTCGATGCGAAATTACAATTACAATACAACGAAAAATATTTATATATATTTCATATACTGTATACATATATAGTTCCAAAAACTATTTATCTCACAATATTATATCTCGGTCGTACTCAAGTGTAGTTTTACGATTCCAAATTTCCCTCTATTTAATTAATTGTGAGTGCGGCCGTTTGTATGCTTGACTTAAATGAATGGAGCGATATTGAGCTATTTTCGCTAATTTAGTGGAAATTCAATATGGTATTTTATCTCAAATTATACCTTGAAATCGAAACCATCAAATTACAATAAATTTAAAAAAAAAAAAATATGTCTGATGTTAGCAAAAATTCAATATAACTACCCTTGCTTATCTACTTAAGCCACTTTTATAAACTAACAAAGATTTATATTATTGTAGTATGTGTAATTTATATAATATGTTCGCACGTTTATTTTTGATACTATAGTAAATGGATATAAAAGCAGTAGCTTAATGTTTAGACTTAAATAAATTAAATAGTACTGTTAATTTTTTTCAACTCCTTATTTCGTATACCCTGATTTCATTTTTATCACTTATTTGCCAATTTGTGTTTATTATTTATGTTATGTTAATATGTACAAATGCATACATCAACACAAGCAAAAAAGAACATTAACACATTGATACAGCATAAGAGCTACCGATACCAAATACATAACCCTTAGTCCACAAATAACAATAAAAATTAAACACAAAAAAACATTACACACAACAATTAAAAATAATTCAGTTATTCCAAATCAGCATATTTTATATTTAATAAATACCGTGGAATAATGTATGTATTATGAAATTGACTAGTAATTATATAAGAGAATTACAGCCCTACCTAACTGAAACGTTAATTATTTTAATCAAAAACATTTTGTAAATACGCCTGAAAGTAAACCCAAAGTGTTTTATGAAGTTATATACATCTTACAGTTATACTATACCATATATGTACATGATACTAAAATTTGCCTTCTTCTCGCTTTCTCCATTAATAACGTACTTCATTATTTAGGAGCAAATTGCACGCGAGAAACAAGTAAGTGGGCGTGCACAATTACAAGTTTGGTATAATGCCGATCGCAATGAGTTGGTTGTCTCACTAATGGCCGCCGATGATCTGGCTTTGCGCGATGAGGCCTACGGACATGGTAATCTACCCGAGGCATATGCAAAAGTGCGTATTTTACCCAAATGGTAAGTTGGGTGAAAAAAATACTCAAATTGAGTAAATTTTTGTTTTTATAAAATTTTGTGCTCATAGTTTTTTTGTTAAGAAACTCATGCTTATACAAATATGCATTAGTCATAGTTCTACTCATTTAAATGACACAAATTTTGTAACGACTATATATTCATATGAACGGGAGACATTATATATGTCGTTTATACTCAAAATTTTGCTCAAACGGAGAGATTTTTTGTTGTAGCATACTTTTCTAGTTATTAAAAACTGTCGAGATAACATTAATTTTTACTCAGCAACTCATACAAATTTTATATCAAACTTATAAATGAGGAGTGAGACTTATATCTATACACAAAACACTCAGTATGGTTACGATTACCGCCTCTTTTGCACAATCACCCAATTAAAACTCGGTGGTAAAAATTATTTAAGTGAATTTATGTTTCTTAGTGAGTCGTTTACAAACTATTAATTTAATTGCTCCAATCGAAGATTTTCCTTCCAAATTTCATTCACTTATACTCACTCAATCACAAGGCTCCTATCAAATGTTTAGTATGAATTCACTTTAAATATAATAATATTAATTGAAATAATTATTTCACTCACACTTTTGTGATAAATTAGGTGGATGGTGTTTCTCAGTCTAGTTTCTCATACTCAATAAATTCGACAACTCACTTGCTATTTGTTTAGCTCAACTTTTAAATCACTTAAAAGTTTGTCAAATCACTCACTCACCATTCACAACCTCAGTACACAAAAATGAGTAAAAGAGGGAGAGAAAACTACTTATATAACAAGTAATAAAGGGTTCTGGTGTAATGGAACATCTCATACTCTTGGTGTAGGCAAAACTTTATATTTAACTAGGGAAAGTGTTGCGGAGATTTCATCCATTTAAGGGAAGAGGATACACTCTTATTAGCAAAAGATTATTTCTAATAATATTGAAAAATTAATAAAAAAAATATTTATAGTAAGTAGATGGGGTCTAAGGGAAGTGTTGACCCGATTTTACCCATTTTCGAAACAATCTTTAGTTTGATTTCCACAATTTTTTAACGATTTGTATGATATGTACATTAAACCATTAAGAGGGTGGGGCCAATCCAGTTTTAAAAAAAAAAATTTAATTATCTTTTACCACCTTACTTTACTTACACCTTTTCCTCCCCTCGCAGCGGCGACGGCAGCGTGCAACAAACCGAAGTCAGTCATCCGACACAAAATCCCATTTGGAATGCAACGCTTACCTTTTCACACATGAATGCCGACAGCCTCATGGATCGCTACATTGACATACAGTTATGGGATCTAGTACCCCACACTGAGTCCATATTTCTGGGCGAATGCAGTGTCGAACTGCAGCAGGCCTTTCTCGATGATCGTGCCATCTGGTGTCGACTGGAGGATCCGAAGGGGCTGCGCGGCATCAGCATGTCAAAATCGCCGAGCGTCTCACCGCGCGGCTCCATTGCCGCCGGCTGTCCGGGCGGTGATGTATCACGTCTACTACGACGCGATTACAATATGCAACGTTCCATATCGGACGATGTTGATTCGATCGGCGATGGCACCACATTGTTACATCCCGATCACGCCTGGGTGGCTGGCTCACGGCGTGGTTCATCGCAGTCGGAGACGCTCGAGGTCGAGGTATATCAATTGGGTAAAGATTTTTCACGTTCTTTACCCGGTTCGCGGCGTTCTTCATTTCAAGATCCAGACAAAATACGCGAAGAGGATGCAATGCAAGCGCCACCAGCTTCGTATTATGTCGGCAGACGTCGTTCTTCGGTGGCGCGTCGTGATCCAGATGAAATATTAAAATCATTGAAAGCTGTGCGTGGTGAACTCGGACGCGCAATGAGTTTAGGGACGGAGCAACAAAAACGACCGGGATCAAGACGTAAGTAGTAGTTTAGTAGATACTTGGAATGTGCATGCGAAATATTTATATAAAATATAAAAACAAAAAAACAATTGTGAGTACGGGAATTGAGAGTTTGAGTTTTTACGATGGTGTAATGCGTAAAATAACCCAACAAGTATTCTTCTTCCGCTCAACCGACTCTAACTTTTTAAATAGATTTGGTAACCTACCTACCGAAGCCAAAAAATTCTTATTGATTTTAAGGTATTAGAATATCAATATTAGTTTCTGAACATTTGAACAGCTTGAAACCACAAATATGGTTGATCCACAATCGATGGATCTCACTTGGACAGATATTAGTCCTGTGAGTTACCCGTAAACTCCTAAAAGTAGATCACCAGATCCTCATAGCTCGACGAAGCGTTTTGAGGTTATCACAAATTTATGACAGCAGTTACTATCAATCCCAACCACTTCGCTAGGTTCACCAATGGTGCGTCTACCGAAATCTTCGAATCTCAATCTGGCAAAAGCCCGGCAATAGAGGAGATAGTGACATGATGATTCCTCCTCGCCTTCGCCATACAGCAGTAACGAGAAAATTTTCCTCACTTATTTTTTGTCTTCAGCAAATTTGGGTAATTTTAAAGCACTATCACTCAATTTCATACGCTCTCAATTCTCTCAAGAGTACACAGGTAAAATAAAGAATATGAAGTATTGACAAAAATAATTTTTATTATTTTATTTTAAAAATTATAATGTTTATGCAACACAATAGCTCACTTTCTACAATAGTAAATAATGAACACATGATATTTTCTAATATTTCTTTCTCTGTTTATTTTCTTAAAATTCTACTCTTTTGTACTCTGCGCAATTTTCTTTTACAATTTTTTTTTTTGCTGATTTTCAAACCCTTTACTAACAAAACTCTATGCTTCCTGCATTAATCTGAACACTAATGATTTACTACTATTTCTCTCTTTCCCTCTTTCACCTCTTTCCCTACAATAACACTATCTCTATCACGCTATTGCTCGCTTTCCAACACTGCTCTCTCGACACTCGCTGTCGCTCTAATCGTTTACGACTTCTCCCTTGCCTTGTCTCTAATTTGCAACTTGTACCGCTAATTTACCAACACTTTTTTAGCATCAATATCGGTGTCGCATTATCAAAGCTTAGACACGCCTTACATTTGGACACGCACTAAGTGAATGCGAATAAATTAAATTAAAACACACAAAACATTAAATGCTCGTTATAAAAAATAAAACATAGCAACAAGTCTTGCTAAATAAATAATAAGTGCTAAATAAATCAACTGTAAAAAGTAAAGACAAAATCTTAAATACTACAAATTTTAAAATAAATAAGCTACAGATATACTACATACGTGTGTAAAAAAATTTGTTTGTGCAACAAAATATGTTTACTTGTCGCACCAGAATTTTTTATTTCGCTGCTGCAACTTCATCTGTGTTGTACTCTATAACTTACTCATCACAACAACACGCACACTAGTCACTAGATAACGGTTAATATTCTCGTAAAATGACAATAGCAAAAACCAACAACATTTGATACAAGTCACGAAAAATTTTACATTTAAATCGGAGTTTTTGGGTAATCAAACCAAATTAGTAAAATAAAATAACAGAAACAATTTCCAAAAAACAGAAAAATAAAATCAAATTAGTCGGCACCCCATTTGGTATTTCAATCAGTAACAAATACAATTACTCACACAATGCCTAGGATCCACCACCTGTAGAATGCAACACTGCAATAAACAGTTAAGAAATGGTAAGAGTGCAATATTGACTTTTGTTCTGTTCTTTTGTTATGCCGTTGCTTTCAAAAACGTGTTTCTGAAATTAGACATTTTTCAAATTTAATCGTTTTAGCTTTGGCTATTCATTACATTAAAAGTTCTGCGTTTTAAATTCTTCTAGAAATATGTATTGTGTATAAAGTTATAAGCAATTTTTCTATTGTCTAACTCATCTGTACAAAATTAATAACCAAACAAAAATCTAAAAAAATCAGGTGGAAACTTTTCAGTGAAAATTGCTATGATTTAAGTGTTGCCTTAATTATTTTCAATTTTTACTTCATGATGAATAAATAAATATTATGTTAACTATATTTCAAAATTAATTTAAAATTTCAAACAGGTGGCAACTCTTTTAATGAATAACTTCAGCATAAATTGATTTTAAATCACTTAAGTTTGATGCTCGTTTATATTCATTTACTTTATATATTTGATTTTATAAAAAAAAAAAACAGGAAGCAAGTAAGGAAACGCTAAGTTCGCGTGTAACCGAACATTTTATACTCTTGCAATTTCGAAGGATCACAGCGTGGGAAATACCGTCAGGTGTTGACAAAACTTTATATCTAAAATGTTGCGATAGAATTCAACAATCATTATTCGACAAAATTGTGAATGTATTACAATCAAATATGGTATTTAATTAGGTTTGATTATAGGTCATAGACTCACTTAATTTTACTATCACATTTTACTTCGCGTCAACTAAAAATATATCAAAATGATATTCAAATGATATTGTCGTATAAACTCAACCCAAGAAGCTAAATGTAATATATCGGGCTTTCCAATAGGCATGATACGATTTCTAAGTGTCGTTTCGGCCATTTGTAGTATGTCATGATCTTTAATTTTTTTTTCTTTGTATTTAGTAATGTTTACAATTTCATCGTGGAAAGATATACACAAGAACAAAGTTTACAAATTATTTAATTTTATTATCAAAATAATCGTTCCCCAATAGCAACTTTTTGTGCGCTTTTGCCATTTTATGGTCATTATGGTTGTGGTGAGTGGTACGGTAAATAAACAAAACTGTCCATTCTGGTACAAAGAAAATCCATGAACAACCATTACATTCACCTAAATTGGCAGTTAGGTGTGTTGGTCTTGTGGAATCATCGGACTGCAATTCTTTCAAAATGAAGCTTGTGACACCATTACTGTTAATAGAGAGTGGTATAGATCGATGGTAACCAGCTTTTTATAGTCAGAAATGGAAGAAGTTTATCTTGACAACATCTGGTTCCAACAAGTCGGGACTACCTGCCGTACAGCACGTTTTGTGATTTAATACCATTAGACTACTTCTTGTGGTGTTATTTGAAGTCATTGCTCTTTAGCAATAAACCAGACTCTCATCAAGCTTTAGAAGTCAATCGTGCTATTCATGACATGCGACTTGATTTAGGGGAAAAAGTACTCGAAAATTGCGTTCATCGAATTCGTTCGTGCAAAAGAAGGAGGCTATTTGAATGATGATGAATGTACTTCACTTTAAGTAAAAATCATTTGAATTTCGTTAAACATGTGTGTTTTTTTTTTAAATAATATCACTCTTATTGGAAAACCCTTTATTAAGTTAATGTGAAAAACAACCACCTGAGTATCGGAATTCATTATATTAGGGTTATGAGGTTTAGACCAACTCCATTAATATTAAACGCTAAACCTAATTAATTTTAAATTTTGAAGAACACTTGTTCATTTAATTACCTTAAAAATATCACACATTTTGAGCAACAGTTTATAGAATGGTGAGAAGTTGGAAAGCACTAAACAGGGTATATTGAAGACAAAGAAAGGTCTGGCCTGATTGCACAAACTTTTGACATTATTCAGGTATACTTCAAAACATATTTTCAAGCAATTTTATAATTATATAACTCATACAGTTTCGAGGGTAGTTTGGGTAATTCGTGGACCAATTTAAAATATTTTCACCATTAAACTATAGTATATCCAATATAATACGTTCAATTAATTTTGCTTAAGTAGCTTATAGTTCGACCAATATATAAGTTACAAAGTTAGTTATGCAAAACAAGTTGATTAGTTGAACAAAACTATTACACACTGTAGCAACATGTTGTAAGAGTACAAAAACGTTAACTTGGGTTACAATGAAGCAAATCCTTTTATCTTTTAAAAATACAAAAGATTTCTTACAAGCACTTGTTTCCTATCGTTAATTTTGTATGCCAACTATATGCTGTAGTGGTCCAATATTGGCCTTTCTGACAAATTAACAACTTTTTGGGTGAAAAGGAGGGTCTAGTTCCTCTTTATACAGACGGAAAAAATAAATAAAAAAGTTTTCTATACAATAACTTGTTTTTTTAACTAATCAGTTTGTATGGCAGCTGGGTCAAATTTACACCACCAAGCCACCTAAACCCAACACCTTAAAAATTAAGCAAACACTTCAAATAAACTTCTGCCAGCTTTCGCACAAATTTCAAAGTGTAGAAGGCAAAAACGAAAGCGATTGCGCCCTTATTAAGGGCCACTAGAAAAATGTGTACCATATTGTGCTTTAGTGGCCAATGTAAATTGAAGCAAGAAACAAAGTATAGCAACAATAACCAAATATTTGTATATAATAGACATATATATGTACATACATATACATACATATATATATATATATATATATATATATATAAAAGTGGCAGATAACCATAAAGCCTCAATGGATTGTAAGAAGATAAAAGCCTGTTGAACCTTGAAATTAACTTTTGGGAAATTTCCGCACTTACTTGTTGACTTACACACACATACATGCAAAGTTCAAGGCAAATACTTTAATGAAGATGTACTATAATAAACGCATGAAAACAGCTAAAGAAAGGCATATGTGTGTATCATACAATATTTCTGCCTACATAAGCAAAATAAATATAATATTGAAGATAATACGTTTAAATATACTTAAGTTTTCATATTGTGCTCTGATTAATTGTAAGTAAGGGATGAAAAGTAAACTAAACGAGGATAATACGCTAGAATAACGATTGCTTAAGTGACTGTAATAAATTAATTATTTAACTCTTCAAAAAAGCAATATTCCGGATATAAGGTATTAATAAACAACTGAGAAAGAATTATTCTTCCAAAGCGGTCTTAAGCAATTCATGTGAAAATTTTCCAGTACATTTTTGGAAAGAGGAAGAAATACTAGACTCCACATCTT